TTTTGATTTTCATTCCTATTCGGAATTGGATTTGGTGTTTATTCCTATTTTGAGTGAGTTTTGGCTTTAAGAGAAAGCACCACTCATGATTTATCAATAGGAAAACCTTGGAGAATTATTCTATGCTCATTGGTACAAGTCTTTGAAAGACTTAAGCACATAAGAGTGGTTTTTGAGAGAGCTTTCATCAAGAGAGAACAGAGAAGAAAAATATTTGTTTTTGCTGCAGATTTTTATTCCGACCAGCCAACTTCAAATCACGTTTTCTGATTCGTTAACCGTTGGATCGGGCTGAAATTTTGACTGAGTGTTCGTAACATCTTGATCTTTGATTTGAACGGTGAGATCGGATTTGGAGGCCCGTAGCATCTGATTTCGAGCCTCGAACAGCAGCTTCATTTTTGTGAATTTTCCTCTTTCTTCAATTGATTAGTTGTTGCTCTTGTTGCTATCGTTGCTCCGTGTTTGGCACTTGTTGTGTAGTCAATTTGGAGAATTTTTGTAACCCTCTTATTGTTATTGTGGAGTTTTTTGGATCTTTGTGATCCCGTGATTTTTACCTTCGATTTGAAGGATTTTCCACGTTAAAATTTAGTGTTCTTTATCTTCTTTATTTTTGGATTTGCCTCTTTCTTGACATAACATAACAATGGGGATATAACAAGCAAGCAACAAAATTTACAAGAAGTTGGCAATTTAATTAATAGAAAGAAATGGTAAAGTCTCTGTTCTATTTGGTTGTAATCCTGTACATACCAAAGTTGTCACAGAGGAAAAAACACTATTAAAAAAAAGAAACAGAAAAAGAAAAAAAGGAAAAGACACGAGTGTCCTTTTTCTTTCTTTCTGTTTTTTTAGAGAAACATATGCTTATCGTTATCGTTTCAATAAGGTTTCAATTTTTTCGATTTCGAAATTAACAAATAATCGATTCGATTTATCGATAAACCGATTCGAATGCACGCCCCTATAACAACCGCAGAGACTTGCCAAATTTCGGAAGAGTGAAGTTAACTTTCATGTGCACCATGTTGTTTACTATGATTAGTTTATTGTTCGTCAAACGATGTCTTGAACATAACAAATCTTGTAAAAAGCAGTGGTTATTATATCTAATAACAAGTTGGTACCCAGAATCTGAAGCAACATATTAAAAAATTATATAACTTCACTGTAATTCCAACTATTGTTTAATATACATAATCGTGCAGTGAAATTTTGTGCCTGTTGAAGACAATATAATATTCTTTCACTACAGCTTTTGTTGACCTAAGGGCCTGATGTTTTAATTTTTTCAATATAGAAAGGAAAAGAAAAAGCTAAAAAGAAAAATATAAAGACAGAGGGAGTCAATTAGATTTAGCGGTTGGCATGTCTCTTTAAATGGAAAAATAAATAAAAAGGATCCACCTAACAAAACATCTCGACAACATCAGGTGTGCCTAATGTGTCATGGGGGTTTGAATAATTACCCAATATATGTTAATGTGTTACATATACAATTTTGGTCCAACTCATAATTAACACTCATTTAGTTATGTTATTTTAATTTTAACTTTTAACATATCATTTTATTATTAATGATATAATTTTATTATTTTACAAATATCATGACATATTTAAGACACAAATTCCTAAAGTCTGAACTTTTTTTTTTGTTGACTATGTACACTCAATCAATCGGGTTCAGATAAAATAAATTTAAGGTCGTAGTAATTGTTAATATACTTAGTTAGCGTTTGGACATAGAATTGGTTGAAACTTAAAAAGACAAGTTTTGAAGATAAGAAGAAAAATGATTTTTGAAAGTTGAAATTGTGTTTGGACATGCAATTCACTGAAAAAGAATTTAAAAGTTTTGTAAGTAGAAAATTTTAAAAAATTCAAAACTACGCTAGAGCTGTTTTTTTTTTTTGGGATTTGAAGATTTTGTTTTCAAAATCGGTAAAAAATGGTTAAAATCTATAACAAATAAATATTTGAAAATAAAATTTGAAAAAGAACTTTCAAATTTTATGGCCAAACGGGAACTTAGATATTGTCACCAAAACACTACCATCCAAATGCCCATCTCCTACATCATACATACTCCCTCCGATCACTTTTAGTTGTTCACTTTGGACTTTTCATACCCCTTAAGAAATAATAAATAAAATATATATTTTATAATTTTACCCATAATTATGATAGCATTTTCAAAAGTATTAGGAAATTATTCGGAGAATGAGTAGTTAAAGATAAGGGCAAAACATGAAAAAAAATTTGCCTTTCTCTTGATTTAGTATAATGAATAACTAAAAGTGAAAATATATTTTTAGTATAATGGATAAATAAAAGTGAACGTACGAAGTAATATTTTAAAGATGGTACCACCAAATTTAACGTAAAATAAAAAGAAGAAAAACTTTATACCAAAAATCGTATGAGGCGTCACATCAATCACAACTCACTTATATTCCCATTCTCCCCAGCTGTCACCTAGTTGGCCTCTTCAAAGTTAGGCATATTCCTTTTCCATAAAATATTTTCAGCTCAATAAATATATAAAATATATTCGTGCTTTAATTCTTAAATTATTATGGTTAAATTATTCAATTTTGTTGTAGACATCAAATGTAAATAATTATTTACCTAAAAGGCTAAAACCCTGTGCTCCAGGATTTCAAGCTTTGCATTAATATTGTATAATTTCCTTGTACAATCAGATTAAGTTGATTTATAACTACACATTTTTTAGTGTAAGTTTGATATGATAATTTAAAAATAAAATAACTACATTTTACATTATCTTAAGGTATACCGAAAATGTAAGATCACACTATTCAAATATTCAATATTTCAAAAACAAAAAAAAAAAAAAAATTGATTCCCAATAATGAGCCTTGGTTGTGCGAACAAAATCGCACATTAGTAGCTGAATTGGAAAGCTACATATAATATGTAGATGAGGAATCTTTATAGTGTGAAGTTTTTTTAAAAAAAATCATACGAACTTGATTAACCCAAAACGATGAGCTGATTTAGTCCAACAGTGAGGAATAGAGTAATTCATGAATAGATATTACAATGTCAAAAAACAATAAATTACCTTAGACATACATGAAGATGAATAATATTTCAAGCTAAAAATTTTCACACTATTAATTTTATTAATAACTTCTTTATTATTTTTCATTCATGACGATGAGAGATGTTGACTATTAAGGAGTTGCCTCCTATAACTTCCGTTTATGATTGTTGGAATTTGAGTCACTAGAAAAAAGTGAAAAATATTGATTCTTAATTCAATAAAGTATTTACCATCATTTATCAAAATATCAAATGTTTAGGTCAAATGATGCTCTGAACGATTAATCTGATTACGAAATCAATTAATCATCTTAGAAATGTTTGGTGTGAGCAACATTCTTTTTATTTTCTCTTCACTTGTCTTATCTGATGTAAAACAACTTTTGAAATCGAAAATATTCTGTTAAATTTCCTTGTCAATTTTGAATTGTTCAAGGATACATATTAGTCGTTCGCCTGATCAAATTTAAATCCTTCAAATATAAGCTTTAATTTTATTAAAAACTTAGTATATTATGACGCGTTTAAGGTATAAGATTGCGTTTCTCTTTTCTTTCTGCAAAATAATTACAATGACGACGAAAATCATAAATTTAAATTTTAAACCAAGACGTGATGTCCACGTAATGATATATGGCATCCAAAATTCAATTAGGTAAAGTCAAGGATCTTTAACTCGAAATGCACAAAGAAGGAAACGTAAAAGTAACTTAGGCAAACGATGCTTAATTAACTTTTTACATTTATAAAGAATATTCTCATATTTACTCGTAGATTTAAACATTTGAAACTAGAATTATGTTTATGTAAACTGTGCTAATGTTTATCATGATTAGTCTTGTTATAAATAGTTATAATTAATTATATTAAATAATTAAATCAATAAACAAATTGAAAACATGGCAATAAATAAAAAAAATATATGCAAAATTGACTAGTTAAGTTAAAAGCTTACAAGTACGATTATATAAGCAAACATATCAAGTTACATTAAGAATTTTGAAACTCTAATAAAGGGCCATTTAAAGCAAAATAAAGTAGTGGTATACTTCCTCCGGTCCACAATAAGTGACCAATTTGCTTTTGGCACGCCCATTAAGAAAATACTAAATTCTATACGAAAATACCTAGTATGACTAAACTAGCCTTAATTAAATATTTAATGTGAGGAGTAAGAAAACTTTTTAGGGATATGTATATATATATAAGGTTAATTTTGTAAAACAAATTAAATGTTTTCTTGATTATATAAATGGACACTAATTTTGGACTAAAATAAAAAAAGTAAATTAGTCACTTATTGTGGAACTATAAAAGAAAGCTAGAGAAAAAATATTAGGCCTGGGACTCTACTTTTGAGTAATACTAGTATAATTTGTTGCAAATACATAATTTTCGCATAATTAGGATGTGAACCAAATAATTAAATATAAATTCAATTACATTAAACCTGCACGTGAAATAATCTTTCCAAACAGAGCATTTTCATCCCCCCAGCTTATCTAATTTGGAGGTAAATAATAGATATGCCAAAAAGATAAATATGTGACATTAGGTAGAAGAGATATATAAAAAAAGTTAAAATAGTAATTGCAAAAATTACACTAGAGCTAACTACTAACTATACCCAACCGAAAATTATGTCTTTTCTCATAACAAACTTCCACGTATAATATTTCACTAAACAACTCCAATAATTAAATTCCAAAACTTACCAACTACGAAAACCCTTTAACTTTTTTTTGTTTTTCGTAATTACTAAATTAATCTCCACGTATTACGTAATTCCCCATTATAATCACCTTTGGATTATACACTCATTCAACTGAGTCACACGCGCACCCTAAACCGCGCGTGTAAACAGTAGCATTGAGCTTGCAGTGTTTTTATATAAAATCAAGCTAACCCCATGCCTTCTAGGAATTGTAGATAGTGACAGCGAAAAAGATCAATAAAAAATCCCATATTTTTCTCTCTCTATTTATGGTAATAAAATTAAAAGTGATTTTTTGAGTAATAATCACTGAATACAGTCTTTTTGTTCGAATTTACCATTGTTGAACGAATCTGGATGTTCAATATGTATATATATGGTAATTTATTGACCATTCTTTGGCCTTTCCTTTTCCAGAACTCTCCCTTTCCTTCTATTCTTTCCTTCACCATAATGCTGTATCAATAATGTCACTTTAATATACAGGGAGAGAAAATATTTGAGAACATTAAAACCATATTTTCTCAACAAAGAACAAAGCCCAGAAACCCAGATGAAAATGGGTCGTTTTGGGTTTTTCGATATTACAGTGGTTTGTTTTCTGTTAGCTCTATCGTTTTCGGGGTGTTATGGGATTCGTAGTTTTCCTGAGGAGAGACGATTTGCGGAGGCGCCGGAGTACAGGAACGGCGTCGGATGTCCGGTAACGGCGCAGGGCAAAACGTTATCGTCTTGTGATCCTTCATTGGTCCACGTGGCGATGACGTTGGATTCCGAGTACCTCCGTGGATCCATGGCGGCGGTTCACTCAGTCCTCCGCCACGCGTCTTGCCCCGAACACGTCTTCTTCCACTTCATCGCCGCTGAGTTCGACGCGACGAGCCCGCGCGTGTTGACTCAGCTGGTCCGATCCATTTTCCCTTCGCTCAACTTCAAAGTCTACATTTTCAGAGAAGACACAGTTCTAAATCTCATCTCATCTTCGATCCGACAAGCTCTCGAAAACCCGTTAAACTACGCCCGGAACTATCTGGGCGATATGCTCGACCCGTGTGTAACACGTGTCATTTACTTAGACTCCGACGTAGTACTCGTCGACGATATTCAGAAGCTGTGGAAGGTGAACCTTACCGGGTCCCGAATCATCGGAGCACCGGAATACTGCCACGCGAATTTCACGATATACTTCACCGATACATTCTGGTCCGACCCGGTATTACCCCAGGTATTCGGGTCAAGAAACCCGTGTTACTTCAACACTGGCGTAATGGTAATGGACTTGAAGAAATGGAGAGAAGGAAATTACAGGCAAAAAATAGAGAGGTGGATGGAGTTACAGAGACAGAAGAGGATTTACGAATTGGGCTCATTACCGCCGTTTTTGCTGGTATTTGGTGGGCTCGTCGAGCCCATTAATCACCGGTGGAATCAACATGGGCTCGGCGGTGATAATGTGATGGGCTCGTGTAGGTCATTACATCCAGGCCCAGTAAGTTTGTTACATTGGAGTGGAAAAGGAAAACCATGGGTTAGACTTGATGAGAAAAGACCATGTCCGTTGGATTATCTTTGGGAGCCTTATGATTTGTACAAGCACAGGAGCAAAGTGAGAGTTAATCATCATCTTAATTTGGGTTTTTCTACTAGTACTAATCCTTTTGGTTACTCTAATTATTTCATTTGATTGATCATTCTTTTACACTTTTTTTTTTGTTGACAAGGTGATTTAAGTGATTCTTTGATAGCCTTGTACAGATTGATTAGATGGAAAAAAAAAAGGAGAGAATATTCATGGGCATAGTTGAAAATTTTAATGGGGATTTAATGTGTTTTATTTAGGGGTTAAAGTTGATTACATTAATTTTTTTGTTGGTTCCACGGACTTGTAACAATTTTGGTGAATTGATTCGATTTGTATGTTGGGATATACTAAAAAAGAGGAATAACTCGTTTCTTGTTTCTTCCTCTTGGTATTTCTAATTTCGCGCATTTTAAGACTCCAAATAATTACACAAGTTGGTTAATAATGTTGCTACACAGCTACAGTTATTTTCGTGTGTATGCGGAGGTTATTTCCGATAGACAAATATGAAATAATTACCATTTCAACTTTTATTTCGGGATTAATATCCTAATCCCGTTAACCAAACATTCCTTCAGAGACGAGTTATAGTCCGTTTGGCCAAGCTTCTAAAATAAGCTTATTTTGAGAAGTGTTTTTCTCAGAAGTACTTTTAAAAAAATTACTTTTGGAGAGAAATAGTTTGTGTTTGGCTAATTAATTAGAAAAGCACTTTTGAGCAGTAATTAGTGTTTGGCCAAGCTTTTAAGAACTGCTTCTAAGTGTATTTTTCTCAAAAGTGCTTTTGAAGAGAAGCTACTTTTTTTCTGCTTCTCCAAAACTGCTTCTGCTTCTCCTCAAAAGCACTTTTTTTCCTTCCAAAAGCTTGGCCAAACACCTCAAAGTTTGGCCAAAAGTGCTTTTGGCCAAAAAAAAAAAAACTTGGCCAAACAGGCTATTAGTAACCTTTGTGTTTCCCATTTTCAGCCATTTAGTATAACCTACGCATAATCTTTGTGTCCATTTCAGCCAACTAGTATAATATAAGCATACTTATGTGTTACTTTCAACGTAATTTTTATGGTACTTTTAATAGCATCGCCCGAAGTAAGTTTACATGTATATTGACTAATTTATCGAATGTCTTACTTTCCACCGACATAAATGTTGGGTGTGCGAACAAAGTCCCACATTGGTAGTTGAAAAGATTGGGAGTCTACATATAAGGTGTAGAGATCTCTTAATGGTGTGAGGCCTTTTGGGGAAAACCGTGCGGGCTTGGCCCAAAGCGGACAATATCACACCATGTTAAGAGTATCATTGGGCCGTTTTAGCCTAACAAATAACAGATAATCATATCTACCACACTACCACTTAGAAAAATAAAAAAAAATCATTTAAAGATAACTCTGTCTACTAACGCTTAAATATTTTTTTGTCCTTATTGCGAATTTTAACCCTAGTCTTTCATGCTTCATCCCAACTTCCTAACACGTTTTTATGTTTCTAAAATATAGGCATCTTAGTAACGGAAGCTTAGTTAGCTTTCGTTCTCTTTATTAGGTAATGTTAATAATTGTGTTAGTTGTTTATCTTTCTTTCTTTTTCTTCTTTTGTTAGTTAAAAGATTAATGTGACTAGGAACTTTATTTGAAGAATGATTGGGGTAGTTTGACAATGATTTAAAGTAAAGATAACATAAAACGGCGAAAAAAAAAGATGAAGTGTTAAAAAAGGGAATGTCCAACTCATAAGGGGAAGCTTTAAGCTTTAGTTGTTACTTAGCATCAAAGTTGTTTTCAAAAATCAATTTTTCTATTTGGAGGTTCCTTTGTAAGAAGGATATGCTTAAAATATATACTTGACTTGTCCAACTTGTTTTTGTAAAATTTGTGTGTGTATGATTTGTGGGGCTCTAAAATTTTAATGTGAATATCAAAGTGAAGCACATGGATAATAATAGCTGGAAGTTTTCTTGGCCTTTGATAACCATTGACTTCAACTATTGATGTATTAATATTTGTTTTGGTTTCTATTGTGGCCACAAAAACTCAAAAGAAATCGTGCCAAATATGATCTCTTTGTTGTGAACTTTAGCCACTATTTGCACATGTAGACTGACCATTCATAGTTTGGTTGATTTACTAAACATTTCCTTGCCCTATAAGTATCTAATCTTTTTTTTTTTTGATGTGTATGTACGTGGGTGTAAATGGATATTCGAAAACCGACTAAACCGATCGAATCGTACCGTACTGAACCGATATTTAGGTTAAGAAATCATAGGTTTTTATATAAATCTATAACCGCACCGATAATTAGGGTAGGTTTTTTATTTTATAAAAATTAACCGAAAAAATACCCGTATCGAATAAATTTTACATGTGGAAAATTTGTTTATCTAGTAAGTTGAAAAATAATAATGCATTAAATTTTTCTTTGGCCTTGGAATTATGAAAATTATTACAGGCCAGCAAGTAATTAAACTCAAAATACTAATTCCTAAAACCTATTATGCTACTTCTACTTAAACTAAGTTTTTTCAAGTATCTTTATTAGCAAGACACAAAATATTCTAGCGATTATGAGTAGCAAACTACAATGTATTGAATATGTATCCTTTCATATAATTTAGATTTATCTTTTTGAATATTTAATCTTCTATAGACTTTATTCTTGAGTCACAGCTTAATTGGTTAATATCTTTTCACTCGTGTGATTTATATTTTCTTTGCCTTTGCTTGGTATCTTTTATATTATTGTAAAATAGTTGATGGATCTATACTCTAGCCATCTTTTATTTTTTTTAATTAATCCATCACTCCTTTAAACAGTAAAGATGTCTAGAGAGTTTGCTTAGTCCTATAAAAGAACGTATGTTATTGCATTATACTTCTACTGGTGAATTTTACATGATATTTTTAAGAATACCGAAAATTAACCTAACCGTACCGATACCGAAGAGAAACCATCATGATTGGGACGGTTTCGTAAAGTCTAATTTTGGTTATACATAATAGAATAACCGAAATATTGCTATGGTACAAATTTTATAAAATAACCGGCTAAACCGAACCATTGACACCCTAGTGCCATGCTTCATTAATTTATGATAAATACTATGTGTGAATAAATCTTTTTCTTTTGATTTGGACCAATTTTTCTACTTTGGGTACGAAGAACTCATTGTCATTGTGAGAGTTAATTAGACGAAACGTTTCAAACCTGGAGGCTGGAGCTGACATTTAAATTGAAAATTAATATCGGATTGCAGCTATCCAAAAAATGTAAAATAAAATGGAAGAGCACAACTATCTCAACTCTTTACTTCACATCACTACTCCAACAAATATTTATACCATTATCAATCTTTAATACTAATATTTTAACAAAATACTATCCAATTTGCTAACAATGCTATCAACCGTTATTTTCAGAAGATATATTTTCATTCACTAGCCAAAACAGCGAAAAATATTTATATATAAAAATTTTTTTTTTTTAAGAAAATCACTTATTTCAAATTTACAATTTCAACCTCTCTTGGATAATAGATAAGTAAATTCTTAATACCTATTAGTAGTGTGTATGATTTAACAGTCCATTATCTTAGCAACAAGATTTGTAATTTGAAAACATAGATTTACGAGAGCCATGTTCATGTGGTTGTGAAAGCATTGATACCATCATGTGGCAGCTTAGAGACTTTGGTAATTGCGTTCTTTATTTATTTGCCTTTTTATATATTGTTACAATTGTCAATAAATAGAATAATATGCATTTAAAATTCCTCGTTTGGCGTCTCCTCACATGCTTTTGTATAATTTCAACAAAAACAAAATTAGAAGAAGGAATAAATTATTGGCCATATATTTGCAGGTATCAGATTCGAGATATTATAATTGGCATTTATCATGCAATTTGCACTTTGAAAATTATACTCTGTCATTGTTGGAATATGAAGTGGAGGTGACCATTATAGTGTGGATTTGTCTCAAAGGAAGGAAATAAAATTTAGTCGTCTGGCTTTGTTCTGTTTTAATGTTCTGTTTATGGATGATATTCTTCAATGAAATATATCATAATATAATATATGCTAATAATCCGATCAATGTATCATAAGTTTTTTTGTCTCGAATGTTCTTTTCTTTTCCCGTCCGATGCATATAGCATTCCGCATTTACGTAAGATCCAGCAAAGGATCGCACCTCAAGGGGTATAATGTAGACAGCCTACCCTAATGCGAGCATTAGTGGCTGTTTCCACGGCTCAAACCCTTGACCTATAAATCACCCGGAGATAATTTTACCATTGCTCCGAAACTCTCCTTCTATTTGTCTCGAATATATTCAAACAAACAAAATATTCTCTTCATATGCTTAAGTTTTGATCGACATTTGATACTTCTTTTAGTGGGAGAGACTCCCTCCATCAAAGTTTACTAGTCCGCTATACAAAAAATAAATGTCCACTTTTATTTGTCCAGTTTGGAATATCAATTACTATATAAGGTGTGTTTGGTATAACGGAAAATGTTTTTTAAGAAAATATTTTCTTGGAAAACAAGTAGTAATCTTATTCATTTTCCGGTGTTTGGTACGCAAATTAAGGAAAATGACTTCTCAAGAGTATTCATAAATAATTTAAATGTAATAAACATGAAGCCATAAAGTTTCAAACTAACAATCTTCCGAACCCACATTTTTCATAAACTTTCAAACCGCTAAACTTTCGAAATGGCGAAATTTTTAACCCGTAAACTTTATAATTTCTAAACCCGTAAACTTCCAAACACATAAACCTCCGAACTCATAACTTTGGTACTTGTAAAATTTTGAACCTTTACACCGATAAAAAAAAACTAAAACTGAAAAATATATTTCAAAAATATTTTTTTCGGGGGGGGGGGGGGGTGGGGTAGGGGGCGAGGAAAATGAAAAAAGCAAAAAGTTTGAAATTACAAAAAAAAAGTAAAAAATACTTTTTTTTANATTGCTTATAGTGAATCCTGCACCGTAGATTATATCAAAATTCAAGGGTCCTCATTACCAATCCGAAAACCAAAAATTCCACTATAAATGCAACAAACAAGCAAAATACACCCATCCAAAAGTGTAGAACTTCCGCAACATAGAGATTTCGGTTGTCATTTAGAATTTAAAATTGGTAGGGTGGGTGGTAACAGAAAAACTGAAATTTAAAAAAAAAGCTTTTTGGATAGGGGGGTTTGGGTTGGTGAGGATGGGGAATGTTGAGAAGGAGGTTTGCAAAATGTTTTCCCTTCTCTGGAAAACATTTTCTTCCAATTGGAGGAAAATGAGTTGATAAGGAAAATATTTTCCAAAACATTTAAGCCAACCAAACATGGGAAAATTAGAAAACATTTTCCGAAAAAATATTTTCCTTCATACCAAACGCACCCATAATATACCTATTTTATCCTTTTTATTAAGTACTACTTTTTTCCAGTTCAATTTGCCAACATATAATGAATAAGGTTAATATAATAAAATTACTATATTATTTATTTTTTCTGAAGGAATTCACCAAGTCAATAAGGGACAAAAAAATTTGGACGGAGTGAATAGTAAAATAGTAGACACAGATTAAAATAGTTGAGATACGCAAAAAAAAAGCATTTCCTGCATCATTGTCATAGTTTTGTTGTATCTCTATGTTTTAAAACTGAAAAAATTAATTTAATAGCAACTCCTAAGCAATTTGTGACACCTGATCCGGCTAGTAGTTAATGATGAAGTTATTATATTATTTCGCACTCGTTGTATTTCACTTTAGTTTATTTACTGTTAATTGTTGAATTGAATGAGGTTTGGCTTAATAATATTCTAACGTTGGCTTGCCTAGCAAGTGGAATGTTAGGCGCCATCACGATCCTAGCGTGAAAATTCCGGGTCGTGACAAATTTCTAATTTATAAGATCATATGACCATCTCATTTAAAAGTCTAAGGTGCTAGAGGAATCCATCCTTTTATTTACTAATTATGTTTCCAACATGCCCCTCTTTCACATGCAGACCTGAATCTTTTTCATAGCCAAGGCCCAAGTACACAATGATGTTTTTGATAGTGGGTGGTTGTAAGACCCGAACGCAAAAGCTTTATTTTTTTTTTTAATTTGAATTGTGCGACCATCTCATCTAAAAGATTGAACACTTCAACAAATGGAATCAAAGTAAGCAATTTTTTCAAAATAAGAATTATGACAGTCTGTTCAAGCATTAACCTGCTGATTTCAATTGGATTTAGTTCTGTTCAATAAAGTCGAATTATTTAGATATCCAGTCGAAGATCACCTGTTTCTTCTCGACAATATAAAGACAAGAATCTTGACAAAGCGATTATTGTTAATTTGTTCGTATTTTAAATCAATCATAGCTTGTAAATTTAAACTACTTCAATATTTCTAATTGGATTCTTTTATTTAATCACAAAGCATGAATTTAGGACATCATCTGTGTTTTTCCAATTTAAAGAAACACTACAGGAACCATTTATACCACTAAATTTAGTTTTTTTTTTAATTATTTTATTTTATAAATAAAAGTTACACATACAATTCTCCCACCAATTAGTCACCAAAAGGAACCATTTGACAGAGGCTGACATGGCTAATTTGTTCAATAAAATTAGTATAAAACACATGTAAACATGGGCAAGGCATTTTACAATCAAACCTAGACTTTTTTTTTGGGTGTGTTTTCTGATTAATTAAACAACCCTAAGCAAATCCAAAAATAAATAAAATTGTTTGAAACAAAAATACCACATACACTCAACAATAGAAATATCAAAAGGTATAATCATCCTCCAAGATTCGTTCTAATTCTTGTGACATCTTGATCATTAATCTGAAATACTTCGTCTGGCATATTTTGTTTCGTCCCAAACGCAGCAGGAGACGCCATTTGGACACCAGGATTCTGACTACTCAAACCAGACACAACCAATGCTTGCTCATTAGAATCCGTATTATAAAGAAAATGAATCAAACCTTTAGGAAAAACAAAACAATCTCCAGGTTGCAAATTTTGAGTAAACAAGTGATTTGAAGTGTCGATAAATCCTACTAAAAGTGAACCTTTTAGTAAAATAGCCACTTCTGAGGCTCGAGGGTGAGAATGAGGTGGCACGAGACTATTAGCATCGATGTCTATTCGTGCCATAGTTAGTCCTTGAGTGTTCAAACCTGGCAAATTGAAAATTGTAGTAAGTGTTACATTAAAACCAAACATTATGCTAATTTTACCAGGTTTGGATAAAGCTGATGTTGCAAAATGTGTAGATTCTACATTGTTTGGATTGATACATGGCACACCATTGCAATAGAAATTTTCTTTTGTGGCTTTTTTGGTATCAGCCACACAGTAATCTTGGAGCGGATCCGGGTCGGATCCGGCCAAGCCCAATACAACAAGTAGACTCATACTGAATAGGATAGTGTTAGTTTCCATATTGATCTACACTTAAAGATAATTTTGCACATTACTAAGTAGTGATACATATATATAAGTTGTTGGTAAGAAAATGTTCTAAGTATTCCAGTTGGACTAGAGATTGAGTAACTTAAGAGCATTAGAGGAGGAAAAAACAAGGCAAAGCTGGGAATGATTGATAATGACCAGAAATAGAAAGTTAAGGGACCACAAAGGTAAAGTGCAAGGTTTATAGGGTAGGGGATTTTTCGAATTTTGATTGGCCTTTTAGCAGACATTATATGGGGCATTTGTATCTATACCCGCTTTTTGTGCCACATTGTAACCTGTGCCCGCTTTGCAAAAAAAATTGCAAGCGTACCCGCTTTTTCGCATAACTTCAGCACACGGGGCTGAAGTAGCAAAGGCAATCACACAAAACTTCAGCATTTTAGTAGCCGGGCCTGAAGTTCAGCTCTAGAGCTGAAGTTTTTGTTTTGTAACTCGCGACTTCAGCTCTAGAGCTGAAGTTTTATTTTATAAGTTTTTGTTTAGTAACCGGGCTGAAGTTTGCCAGTTATAAAATAAAAACTTCAGCTCTAGAGCTGAAGTTTTATTTTATAAGTTTTTGTTTAGTAACCGGGAAACTTCAGCTCTAGAGGTGAAGTTTTTGTCTTTGTAACCGGAAAACTTCAGCTCTAGAGCTGAAGTTTCTATGTTGTAACTAGAAAACTTCAGCTCTAGAGCTGAAGTTTTTGTGTTGTAACTGAAAAACTTCAGCTCTAGACCTGAAGTTCTATGTTGTAACTAGAAACTTCAGCTCTAGAGCTGAAGTTTTGTGTTGTAACTGTAAAACTTCAGCTATAGAGCTTGNAAGAAGATACAGTTACATCTAATTAACTTTATTGTGATCATCTAATGCATCCGATTTTGCGTTCTGTTTTTATTGCAAAATAAATGCTTTGTTGTTATGTTATTTCGTTTTCGAAAACTTTTCTTTTTAACATTTGAATCTCTGATCGCTGATGATCAGTTTCTCCATTTTCTTTACGGTTTCTATGTTTTATCTATATTACAACATATTTGATTTTCGTGTTGCTGTTTTTTTGTTGGATAAAAATTGGTGCCTTTTTCTGATCAATGGTATGACCATATCATTCCTCAGTCCTCACGGAGTTGTGTTTCCAGACAATGAGAAAATGAAGAAGGAGAAGGGGAGGAGAAAGGGAAGCTGAAGTTTTTTAAAAAGTGGGTACGGGTGCAAACAGAAAGACAAAGCGGCTACAGGTTAAAAAGGGGCGCCGAAATAGGGCGCCCCGTGCAATTTTTACACATTATATATCTTTGAGGGCCATGATGTTTACCATGCAGCTAATTCACTTCTTTAACTTTTCTTGGGCCCTTTTCTATTTGAGAACTTTTAGATCTTTTGCTTCTAAGTCAATATTAGCCCATCTTAAGATAAGAGTCCATTAAATAGATAATGAACTTTTAAGACGAATTTGGACCTGACTCGGCCTAACTCTGATCTAGTACAATTCTGTTGTAGAAAGAGATTTTTATATTTCTATACACTATGAAACTATATTACCCTCCCTACTCAAGTTTTATTATAATTACATTTTATATACCCAATTACTATTTATGTACATTTTAAGGGAAATGATTAGTGTCCTAAAATTACTCTAACATATCTTCCATTCCCCACGTTTCTCTCTCCACATCCCATCCCCCTTCCCCACGTATCTTGCACCCACCCACGATTCCATAATTGACAACCATTAAAAGCTTTGAAGCGTTGAATTCAAATTTGGGTTTTCAAAAAACATTATTTGTTTGAATTGGATGTTGTTGTAAAGAATTGGGAATTTTCTCTACGTCTCTCTCTATCTCTCAATCCCTAATTTCAGTAATGTAAAGCAAAGGAAACGAGAGCAGCAATTCCACCATTGACAGCCATTAAAAAGCTTTGAAGCTTTGAATTCGAATTTGGTTTTCAAAAATCATTATTTGTTTGGATTGGGTGTTATTGCAAACAATTGAGAATATGGTTTGGAGTTTATATCTCAATTTTGAGGGGTTTTGGTGAAGATTAGACTTGGTTTTGGCTGAATTTCAGATTGAAACTCGAAGAAGAAGAAGACGACATGATATACATTATATTTACGAAATTGTAGTAAAATTGTATTGAGTTGTTTATATATTTTTCTTTTATTTATTTAACTATTGTATGAAAGTTGAAAAATATTGTATTAAAATTATATTTAAGTTGTATGATATTGTAGTTGTATATAACTGAGTAGAAATAATGTATGAAAGTTGTAGATAAGTTGTAAATAAGTTGTATAATATATAATTAGTTTGTATGAAATTTGTTTTTACTATGTATAAATCAGATACAAAAGACATATTGTATAAATTTTGTATTTAAGTTGTATGTTATTGTAGTTGTATTTAACTAGGTAGAAATAATGTGTGAAAGTTGTAGATGAGTTGTAGATAAATTGTATAATATATAATTAGTTGTATGAAATTTGTTTTTACTATGTATAAATCAAATACAAAAGACATATTGTATGAAAATTGTAGATAAGTTGTATAATATATAATTATTATGTATGAAATTTGTTCCTACTATGTATAAATCAGATACAAAATATACAAAAGACATATTTGTATAAAATTTATATAAAAATTGTATTTAAATTTGTTGGGTGATTGGTACTTGACCATGAATTGACCATTTTAGTTCCTTTCTCCTCTTCCTGTTCAAAGAGTTGACTCGATCATTAGCAGTTGAAAAAGTTGAAATATGATTTTACTCTCTCATTTTCCCATATGATTTCCTAAAGTAAAAGAGATGATTGAATGTTTCTTGTCTTGAGCTACAGGATGGCAGCAATGTATATCGATCCCCCAAACTTGTACCTGCTCCTATGGAAGAAGATAAAATGTCGAAATTTGCAATCTTTTTTATTGCCCTGCTCCTATGGAACTCATTCCCATCAATTGCCGGAAAAATCATCCGACGTGAGCTTCGCAAACAGATTGAGGTTCCAATATGTGTAATAGCCCGTTTGGCCAAGCTGCAAAAATCATTTTTTTTTCATAAGTACTTTTCTCAAAAGTACTTTTGGTGAGAAGCAGTTTGTGTTTGGCTAATTAGTTTGAAAAGCACTTCTGAGCAGCAATTAGCGTTTGGCCAAGCTTTAAAAAACTGCTTCTAAGTGTATTTTTCTCAAAAGTGCTTCTCAAAAAAGTGCTTTTGGAGAGAAGCTACTTTTTTCTGCTTCTCCAAAACTGCTTCTGCTTCTCCTCAAAAGCACTTTTTTTCCTTCCAAAAGCTTGGCCAAACACCTCAATTTTTGGCCAAAAGTGCTTTTGGCAAAAAAAAGCACTTTTGGCCAAAAAGAAGCTTGGCCAAACAGGCTATAAATATCAGAACAAATACTCCGTTCGAGATTCAAACTGTAACAGCGACGGAATTAGTGATAGCAGAAGCGTCGGAGGAGGAGGAAACGGAGGTGAGAGAGAGAGATTGAAAAAGGAGGGGTGAGGACACGGGAGAAATTGGGGGCGCTCACTGATCTTGTAGGTTGTAAGAGAGTAGAGAGGAGAGAAAAAAGGAAAAATGTGTAACTAGATTCCTTGATTAAAGGCACAAATAATGGATTGAGAGTCTTTTAAGGTGGATTGTATACATTTTGTAACTAAAATGTGTTTAGGTCGGGTAGATATCAAAACATGGATATTTTTCGTAATAAGGTTTCAAATATTTTATAGAAATGAAAAAATATGTTACCAGGTAGCACTTTAATGGGCTATTATTTAGGAATTAACCAAATATTTCCTAAATTTCAATCTTTCAGTTCGAATTTTCGGGACATAAATATCTTGAAATGAAGATTTTTATTTAAATTTCAAGGGCAAAATAAATACTGGCTAACCCCTAAAATAGCATCCCTAAAAATTACTGTTTGTGTACTTCCCCTGACCGCTTGTAGTCATTGTTGGTATATACTCAATTATAACAAGTGTATAACAAAAATGTGTGAATAACACATTTGTTACACCTAATTATATGCAGATTATATAGTGATTATACACTGCATATTGGCTAAATTTGTTAAAAATAAAGACTAGGGTTATCTTTTGGCTAAAATAAGATATATTGGCGAAGGGTGTCAATTGATTCTCCGTGGACAAGAGTAGCTCCAACCCTGCTCCTAACCCGAGTCACAATTCATGCTTTCTGGAACTGTCGTGTTATTATGCTTCTTACTTTCCTTCAGGTAATTGCTTAGTCTCGTATTTTCACTTAATTTCACTGTTTTTGTGTAATGATAAGCATGGCAAACTAATACCATCTACCAGTATCTTTAGTATTGTTGTTTTTCTATGAATATATCAGTATATCTGATTGCTTCCTCCGAACCAAGGGCGGATACACCTTATGGCAAGATGTGTCATTTCAATTTTTTTGTTAAATATGTCTATACAGATAGTACACAAAATAAAAATATTAAGTATAATAAAAAATGACATTACTTATTATTATAGTGATTTATTCATTCGTTTATTTTTTCTAATATTAACACCGCTTAACCAAAATACTGCATATGCCACTGCTCCAAACTCTTTCATGTGTAGCTCCAACGGTATGATATCAAGGAAATATACAAGCAAATGTAGCTCCAAACTCTTTGAGTGCACATGTTTCTTTTAACATATCTCTGCACATTCTACTCGACTATCTAATTAGACAAAAAAGGCTAATACCAAACACCGGAGCTATACTAGGTTTTCAATCGCAGATTATCAAGTTTGTCAATTATAAAATACTAAATATTTGACTCAATTAATATGCATATTGTGTCTAGATGCCTGGTCGTACAAATTACATAGTATCAATAAATAAAACAAAAATTAATAATAAGTTTCGATATGATCAACTTCTTGACCTAAAGTTGTAATATTTCTTGATTAACTCAGTTAATCAGGGAAAATTTGTATGCCCATGAGTGGCCATGGAAAGTCCAAGGCCTGTGATATTTTAAACATCAGCTTG